CCCCAATCATCGAAATTGCCTGTAACGAACACCTCGCTCGCATTGTAAGGCCTGCAAGTAACCGTTTTAGCATTGTACCACGAGAATGTCGAGCAATGCCGAGAAACTGATATCTCTCGCTAAGGGGGTCATGTGGGGAAGTTTGACTCACCATTGAAATGTAAAAGTCCCCATCTTGATAGAGTGAAAAATTGGAAACAGAAATAGTTGGGGGAAGACAGGGAAAAGAGAGGGGCTCTAGTGCATTGGGACTAAATTGGTGGGGGGTGACACAGACCAGTACCTGACCCTGGAGAGGACTTAGCGCCTATATAATTTTCTGAATCTCATGCATATCCCAATGTGGAAGGCCTGGAGATATCCATATATCAAGGGGCTGGGGGGCGAACCGTGGCTGTGGTCGGGTCTATGCGCCCGCTCTAGACCTTCCGTTTGTATGACGCCATGAGCTTTAGGGTTATCTGGTCTACTCCAGGGCTTCAGGGCTTATTATCTAGCTTACATGACTCTAGCTTACTCTTTATGGTATAGTACATAGTAATATTAAACGGATGATATTATCACAATTGACATTCCCCAGGGCTAGATATCCAACTGTTGTAGAACATCTAAATCCTTTAAAGTTTCCACGATTTTGCGGTTCAGTATTTTCTCCACCCGAGAAAATTATAAGGTGACATTTGAAAACGGCGAGTCCATGACATATGTGACCCGGGAACTTCCCAAGGTTCCCGAGGTTGCCACTTTAGTGGCGAATATGCAATTCTAGAAGACGCCTGGAAGGACTTCAAGCTTTGGCGTTTTTTTTCTCAATCTTATAGTCTTACAGTTAGTATTGAAGTTATTATAACGAGTTACTATAGTTACATCTACTTTACGGGAGTGAGTCATGCCGATCATAGTACTCTCCACATATACAAAGTAGTACATAACTAGTTTATAACATAGTATGATGTACGTAGTGAATTTGAAGCACCAATGATCGACGAAGCTCAGACCAACTTTAGTGTGTCTTCTACCCCTCATCTTTCCAATTCCAATTCTCAAGTATTTCCCACCTCTTGTCTTCACTTTTTGATAAAGCTATAAAGCTGTAAAGCTCCCGGACTGAGCTTCCTTTTAGCAGGTAATTTCCCGGTTTCACTTGCTTTCACTTCCATTCACTTACTTTCATCTGCTCCTTTTTTCATTTGCAATATTTCATTTTACTTTCCGAGACATGGAGGGAAGGAAAAAAAAGAAATAAAAAGAAAAAAAAAAAAGAAAAGAGAGAGAGACGGGGTCATGCAGTATCCCTACAAATTAGACTCCAACCAATAATCCCCCACTGTCTGCCCCTCCGTTGCTTCCATATTACTCTACCTTTTCTACCTCTTCAACCTCTTACCTTTTTTTTTAACCTACATTTTCTACATTTGCTACATTTGCAACATTTCTACATTCCATCCTCTTCCCACTCAATCTCTTTAATTCAACCCCTTCTAATATCCACAGATATCATCTCTGTTTCGTTCCACATCCATCCCACCTTCAACCCCGGAGTTGTGGCCTCCTCGGCCCTCAACCCCCCCAACGCCCTCATGGCACAGAACTTTGCTCCAGGTTTGACCCCGGTCATCGACACCAGAGCCGGTAACAAATCTGCTGGCATCCAAAAAATTTCCGAGGACGACGAGTTCGAGGTGACGTCACCAACCAACCTGACTTTCCGACAGTCCAGCTCAAATGCTGCACCGCCGGGCACCGCTTTGTTTGGAGGTACTGCATTCGCTGAGGGAGGATCACAAGCGGGAGGATCATTGTTCAGCCGGAGTCCCTTCCAGGATAATGCGGGGGAGGAGGACGAGCAGGAGGGGGAGCTGGCCCCTCTCCCGGAACGATCCGCACAGCAAGGATTCCCTAGCAACTACGCGCTTGGTCGGCGGACATCTGTCTCAGCGGAATCTTTAAATCCTACTGAAGCTGGTTCGGATAGCTGGTCGCCTCCTCACCACCCAAAGACCGAAGAGCAGGTCTCCCGGCTTAAGAGCGCCGTCAGTAGCAACTTCCTCTTCTCCCACCTCGATGATGATCAATTCTTGACCGTCCTAAATGCTCTCGTTGAGAAGCCCATCCCTGCGAAGGACATCAAGGTCATTTCCCAAGGTGACGCCGGTGATTACTTCTACATCGTGGAGAAGGGAAACTTTGACGTCTATATTCACCCCTCCGGCGCCGTGCAGCCTGGTCCTGATGGCCTGGGCCACAAGGTTGCCAGCACTGGACCCGGAGGATCGTTCGGCGAGCTGGCTCTGATGTACAATGCCCCACGTGCTGCGACGGTGATCTCCACCGAGCCAAAGAGCACACTGTGGGCTCTTGATCGCATCACCTTCCGCCGCATCCTAATGGACTCGGCATTCCAACGCCGTCGTATGTACGAGGCTTTCCTGGAGGAAGTCCCACTGCTTTCTTCTCTGAAGCCATACGAGCGCTCGAAGATCGCCGATGCTCTGGACACCATCAAGTACCCGGCTAATTCCACCATCATCCACGAAGGCGATCCCGGAGATGCTTTCTATCTTTTGGAGTCAGGTGAAGCTGAGGCTACCAAGAACGGTGTTTCTGGCCCCGTCAAGAACTATCGCCGAGGTGATTACTTCGGCGAGCTTGCTTTGCTGGACGACAAGCCACGTCAGGCGAGCATCACCACCAAGACGGATGTGAAGGTGGCGCGGTTGGGTCGGGACGGATTCAAGCGTCTTCTCGGTCCCGTGGAAGGGATGATGAGAGGGGCTGAGTATGAACTGGACGCGGAGAAGTCTCCTGTTTCCAAACCAATTTGATATGATTACAATGAAATTGAATCTTGGGGGTTTTTGCGCCAGGAAATTAGATCTTTTCATGGGCGAGGTCCAGCTATCCACCATCTGTCATTCACCTGCTATCCCAATAACCGATGATCTACACTTTTTTTTTCTTCTATGTTCATTATTTGTGTCCCATCTCCTCGTTCCCAGCAAACTTTCCACTCTTTACGATTATTTGACTTGTATCTACAACTGTTTCTCTTATGCGTGCCGTCTGTGACAGGGACCTACTGTCGTCCTTGTCCATATTTTCCTTCTGCTACTGCGTTATCCACTCCAATTGTACCCTCCAATACTTAGGTATAATCCAGCAGAATGATTAGAACTTGTGTTTGATTTCCCCAGACTCCCATATACAATGTCTATATGCCCCCCCCCCCCCCCCAAGGATTCCAAGTCGAAGTCGTGTAGGAACCCGCCCACTACGATTATGCTATGTTCCCCATGCCAATCTACAAGCTTGGAACTCCCCAAATGCAATATCAACACCAGTATATCACCTCGGAACAACCAAGTCACTCCTCAAAACCCACTTTTCTCCCCCGGTAACCTCAGCCCCCTCATGTATCATACAATGATCTCCATGTCGGTGCAACAGCGCCATCCCAGCCTCCGGCGCAACAGCTATCGGCTCCGGATTGCGATTCGCACGCGTAGACTCCGGGTAGAAGATTGTTTCGCCGCCTGTGCAGGATGTCAGGTAGACCAGTAGAGTCCAGGTGGTGCGTGCGGGTGTTGCTTTTGAGCGCGAGTTCGGTGGGGGGAGGGTTATATTATTGGCATCGTCGTCTGCGATTGCAATGTATTAGATTAATCTGCCTTAGTTGTATAGAAGTGATTATATAATCCAAGACGAAAAAGCTTACAATGTTGTCCGAAAAACTGTCCTGCAGAGTATCGATAAATGCGAATATTAGGATTCAACCCCAACGGCTCCCCGCCCCAGAGTTGACGTGCGCGTTCAGCGAGGGCACTATCATCTTCCTCGGCGTGCTGGTCGTACCCGTACTCGTCTTCTTCGAAGCGCGTCGTGACAAGCTCCTTTAAAGCCGTTGTGCTCCACAGCATCTCCGCAAACCGCGCATCGTCGATCTGGAACCGGTCGTTGACGCGTAATGCCTCGTCTTTCTTTGGGGTTCCCGGTGTTGTTGTTAGTGGTAGCGAGGCGAGGAATGAGGCGTAGGTTTTGCAGAGGGTGCCTGGGAGGAAGTTGCGGATTAGGTAGATTTGGTCGGTGAGGAGGGGGGTCAAGGTTAGATCGGCGGCGGGGAGGAGGGGGCGGAGGGGAGGCCAGTTAGGAGTTGTGGTCTTTGGTTGAGGTTTTGGGTCAGGTTTTTTGAATTTTGGGGCCATTTTATTCTTGCGTTGCTAGGTGAAGGCGAGTATGAAGGTAGGTGAAGGTAAGGTGAAGGTATAGGTAGAAGTAGAAGTAGAAAGAGGTAGAGGTAGAGTAAAGGCTTTTATCGATAAGATGATCCCAGGTATAAACAACAGGCTAATTGGTTTTTGTGTATACTCCGCTTCCCCAGAATATGTAGTATGTTATATGTTATACATCCCTTGCATACGGGCTCAATAGGAATTGTCGTCTAAAGTACGGAGTACATACAACCATCACGGTTTCCCCTCATCTCAACGGGAGGCAAGCCACCGAATATCATCGACTCCACTCTACATGTAGACAATAAACGAGGTAATGTGAGATCAGAGGAAAAAGAGGTTAATGGCATGGACTCATCCATTGTCACCCAATATATAGATCTAGGCTTTTTGATCAACAAAATCGGTGAGGAACCAGTTGCGGGCAGTCCATGTAGGTGGATCAGGTCGGAGAGAATATGGATTTGGGCGGGGCGGGAAGAAAAATTTGTCCCGGAAGAGGATTGTCGGCGCTTTTTCATTTCTTCAACCGTAAACCTTTCCAGATTCATACATAGTATTTGATATTTATTGGTGAATTCGTCTCAAGTCAACGATATCGAGAACTAAAGAAAAAGAACAACGGAAAAAAAAAAAAAAAAACATGGCTCAGCGGTGACTACAGCCATCTGCAGCGACCAACTCGGCCATCGCTCACCGCCCGGTCCCAAGTTGAGAACTTCCCTTCTGGTTGGAACTTCATTCCTCTCCCTTCCCCAGCATCAGCCTGTCATGTCGTCGCAGACCATGACTGCGCCAGCCGTGGGCCATCGACCGCCTGACCCAGGCCCTGATAGCCCCCTGTACGACTATGGCTGCTCACCAGACAGCGACTCCCCTTCCAATCCTCGAGACGACTCCGCAATTCGCGCCATGCAGAATAATTCTGCCCCGTCAACTCCCAACGGGATGCCCGCCCCGGACGTCGCAATCAAAACCGAATGCTCAGACAGCCACGACTTTTCAGCTGCGCAACATCAGCAAGATGCAAACACGCAAAACGCCGCAAGTGCGCTCCTAGCGCAGCTTCTTGGAAATCAATCAGCCGCAAACTCTACCCCTACCACGATACAACCTGCACAACAGGATGAGGACCAGGATATTCACATGGATATCAAGATGGACAACTCAATCTCTCAGTCATTTGATATGGCTAACCAAAACTCTGCGCCTATCGACCCGAGCTTGCATCGAGACACTGCCTCAATATCTCGCGAGATTCAAGACTTGCTGAACGGGAAAGCTTTAGGTGACGAGCTTATGGGAACGAATTCTGCACACCAGGATATGGACCATACAGGATTCAACTCCGATGCCATGGGGACCTTGTCCGACCCCATGAATCCGAAATTGAGCACCGACCAGCCCTCGCTCCTTCCACCCTTGGACTTTTCGGCCGCCCCGAAAAATACGTTTGAAGCTCTCCACCAAAACGAGCTGCTCACAGCCGCCTTTCTTTCGCAAAACGCAGATCTGTCAGCCCTGGGGTATCAAGATATGGCGGCTTCAATTGCTGGATCGGAACCTAAGATCCAAGCGTTTGCCAAGTTGGAGTTTGATGATGGGCATTTTTACGTCAATACCTACTCATTCATCCTAGGACGAGACGTGCGCGCCGCTCGCGCCGCCCATCACCGAGAGTTCCAGTACCGGCAGGCCGTGCGAAGCACTCGGGCGAAGAGTTCAAGTGGAGGAAACACATCCCACACCCCGAACCGTATGAAGCGGGAGGAAAGCGCTGCCATGATGGGCAGTGTTGTCAGTGATCGGGGAGGTATTATGGGCTTTGATCCAGATATACCTCCGCACCTTCCGAACAACATGAACATGAGCCGACGATCCTCAAAATCCTCCTTTGACGACGCTGTTGTACCATTGCATGCAAACCCGGCTCAGCTACAATCGACAACCGACTACAATGCGCTGGCGATGCAATCTTTGCAAGATGGAAACGGGGATGCAAAGCCCGTTGATGCGCTGGCTTTGCTCCCCTCCCCTGATTCTTGTCCCACCATCCCAATTCACCCCCCAACGACCGTTGACGGCAGTGCCGCAGGCCATCGAGGGATTTCTCGGAGGCATGTCCGGATCTCATACAATTTTGATCGTAACTTGTTTGAGATGGAAGTAATGGGACGCAACGGAGCGTTCATTGGGGCTGATTGGCTATCACCGGGGCAAGTTCGCCCGTTACACAGCGGCGACTACATCCAAATTGGAGGCGTGCGTATCCGCTTTTTGCTACCAGACGTCCCCATTGGCGAAACTGGAGCGGACCGGATGGAAGAAAAAATGGCAGAAAAGAACGACGAGGAGGAAGAAGAGGAGAAAGATGCCCGTGCTTCAATGGAAATGGACGACGACGTCGATGAATCTGAGAGACTTGGGAGTGACAGCGGCGAGAGCAGGGAACCTTCAAAGAAGATCATCCTCAAGACAAAGGATTCCAAATCATCTCAAGCAATGGATTCTATCGAGACTGGGGATAACGATTCACAGCCAGCTCGCCGCCGGGGACCAGGACGCCCTCCCAAGGATGGAATCATGTCTAAGCGCGAGCGGGCTGAGCTTGCTCGGGAGCAGAAAATTGCTGCCAAGCGCGAGGCCAACGGAGGTATCACACCACCTCCACTCAAAGTGCCCAAGGCCGGGAAGACAGTTGCCAAAGAATCTGTTGTTCCTGAGTCACCAACAAACAAACCATCCGAGAAGCGGAAGTACACCAAGAGAAAGAAGCCGGATGGCACACCAATGGATTCTCCCCTTCCCTCAACGGAAGGCGGCCAGATGTCTGTGGAGCCCCCGCAAGAATATGTCAAGCCCCCACCGGTCAAAAAGCGCAAACCGTCACGGTCACCATCTCCCAACTATCCTCCGGAGTCTGCTTACAATGCCGAGGATCTGGCAAAACCGCCGTACAACTACGCCGTTCTCATCTTTGATGCTCTGACGGAAGCTGGCACGCCAATGACGTTGAAGCAGATCTATCGTGCGCTAAAACTGAAGTATCCATATTTCCGCTTCAAGTGTGAGACTGAGGGCTGGACATCTAGTGTACGACACAACCTGAACGGCAACGGTCATTTGTTCATGCACGCAGAACGAGATGGCAAGGGTTGGTCATGGCAGCTCATTCCTGGCGCGTCGGTTGAGAAGGAGAAGAAACGACGTCCTTCGCCGCCGCCGCAGGTTTCCCACCCTCCTCCGCCTGCTCCCCAGCAGTACATGCCTCAGATGTCCCACTCGTATGCACCACCTCAGGGCCCACCACCGGTGCCAAATCCGCCACAGCATTTCCAATTCCCTTCCATACCGCCTGCTCCTTTCCCGGCCTCTGTTAATGTGGGAGGGCATCCACCCCAATCCAGTCCCTACCCACCTCCATCGAAGGCCCCTGTTCCTATGCCCAGCGCTCCTCCTCCTACTCCGCCGGTTCAAGCTCCTGCTCCTGCTCCTGCTCCACCCCCGCCCCAGGCTGCGACACCGGCACCGGCACCTCCGCCGGCGCCCACATCTGCCCCTGTCTCTGCTCCTATCCCGTCGCCAGCACCAACACCTACTCCGGCTCCTATGCCTACGTCTGCACCCACACCCGCACCTACACAGGCACCCGTGCCAGTACCATCGGCACCGGCACCGGCACCGGCAGTAGCGCCAGCGCCAACACCAGTTCCACCTATCAATCCAGCTGCATCCTTCCCCATCCCCAGTCAACTCCGCAACAACCTCCCAGCTGCATTCGCAGCAACCATCCCTTCAACCTACACTTCACCCTACGCATCCGCCCCCGCTCCGCAAGGCGGCCAGCAGCAACAGTTGCAGACCCCACGGCCTCCTCACGGGCCACCTCAGCACCATTCCCCTTATCCACAACAAAAGCCGCCATCCTCCCAACCTCCCCACAACAATCCGCAGCCTCGGACATACCCTCCATCTGGTGGAGCGCAGTTCCAACACCAGCATCAGCATCAGCACCAGCCACCGGTCCAAACCCAGTCGCAGCCGCTGTCGCATCCTCCTCAGCAGCAACATCCGTTACCTCACCACCAGCACCAGCCGCAGCATCAACACCAACACCAACATCAGCATCAGCATCAGCATCATCCGCCTCCAGGCGTCCCGGCTCATTCTCACCATCAACAACAGCAACACCCTGTTCAGCAGAACTCTGCACCAGGGCCACCAGAGTCATCCTCGTTCATTGACCGGGCGAACAAGGCAATCGATGACTTTGAAGCTGTTCTCATGGAAGACTACGAGGACAAGAATTACATCCGGGAAGTTCTCCGGAGTGCGCGTGCACGCGTGTTGGGCGATGCGCCAGAAAGCTCCTTCCCAGGTGGCGAGCCAAAAGACGAAGCCGTCATCATGGATGTGCTACGCAATTTGGTCGGAAGCCTGAAAGATGAGTGAATGGCCTCCTGGCGTGATATTTTACATATTGGTGGAGGGAATGGTTTCCCCCTGACGACTTATCGAGTATACGAGTCTTATGGTTTTGCCTTTTTTTTTTCTTCCTTTTCTTCCTTTCTTCCCCATTCAATTTATCCTCTTCAAATTGTTGTTTTGCGACATGTCTGGATTCTTTGAATCTTAATGATATCCCTCTGTTTTTGCCGACAGGCGTTTTCTTGCGTCTTGTCTTTTTTTTTTGTCGTATCTAAATTTTCACTTCCCTGTTCTCTTCTTTTTAGGCTCTTCATAGCCCACTGTGTCGGATGCAGGGGGATTTCTCCCATCTTGTGGGAATAATCTCGACTTGCTTTTTTCTTTTTGTTTTGATCCTGGCGTGACCCAACCGCCTGATATAAAAGCGTAAAAGCTCAGCATGATAGAAATACCATTCACATTGACCGGACTAGATACTCATTCTCCAGCACAGGCTCGGATATTGTAGTATTACTTCATCAATAGCTCTGCCGTTTTCTACATACCAAGCTAGCTAATCTTCAGATTATTCGGCCGTTTATTCTTAATATGTCCAACATCCAGTATCTTTGTACAATGAAACCCAAAATTTATGAGTAAAGAACAAAGACCAAGCCCTCTATATACCAATTATCTCTAAAATCACAAGGACGGTTCTCAATTTTCTCAATGTATACAAGCTACAATGGGACTGGGTTAACTTCATAGCCGCATGTCTCAACTCCTTACGAGAAGGTGATATTCAACCAGTATTTGGACCCATGACTATGCTTTCGAGTACAGCATCCGTAGAGCCCTGAAATATACGAGAGAGCACAGTTCCATCTTGCAACACGTGGGCAGTATCTGGTACACACATGTTCGATATTGGCTTCCATATTTTATACAGAAATCATCTCAAGCTCTAATGCCAAGGCCATAGTGAAGCCTATTTGGGTCAGGTACAGCGAGGCAGCATCTTATCCCTGTGTGTGAGAATAGAAATGTAAAATACCCGAGAAAACCAAATGTGGCTAGGCACTTGAATCGCGAATATTGAAGCATCTACAAAGAGGGCTAGATCCTTTAGCTGCTACATTATCCATATCCGGAAACGACAAAATAATGACACTGTCTTATATCGCTCTAGATAAAAGTTCGGCCCATTGTACGGCAAAGCGTGCACTGGAAGCGGAAAGGCCATAGATCGCTGCATAATATGGTCAGCCAAACCTAGGGCCTTAGGCTTCCCTCGACGTGACATTATGGTTGCGATATGAGCCCGCAGGCCTATTGTGATGTTAGACTTATCACCGAGCACACAAGCGTTGCTCACTTACAGGCTAATTCTGTGCGCAACAGTGGCCAACTCGGCGTCGTTAGCAGCCTCCTGCTCAGCACGCTCCAGAGCAGAGCGACGATCCTTTTCGCTTCGCTTAGTAACTTCTTCGTGGGTAGGCGGCAGATGCTCGTTCTGCAGGTCGACCTTTCGGGCCTCCTCAAAGTTGTGGATGGCTTGCTTAATGCCTTCAGCCCCCAGCAGGAGAGTACCGGGGGGCAGGCGGCCAGCGGTTACTGCTTTTAGCTCACTGATACCTTCAGATTGTTCACGGAGCACCCTGAAGACACGGGAGAGACGACCGATTGCAAGAATCTTGTTTCTGATAGCTCGTTGCTTGATCTCGCCCGGTTCGCCAGTGGGATCGGTATCTATGGGTAAGGAAGGCGAGGCGGGACTGGCCGTAGCAGTTGAAGGAGTATTGTCCTCCTCCAATTCTTCTTTCGAGCAGGTGTTGAGAATGGCGATCAGCATGTCGGTGATTTTCTCACCGACAAACGGTAAGGACCAGGCGAAGACGTCCATAAAGTTGGACAGCCAGAACGGGTGCGGGGTGCAGTTGAATTGCCGGATATTCATTACGTTGTTCTCGTATTTGAGAATAGCGGCCTTGTTGTTATACCTATCGAGGTAGTTGGGCGCGCTGAAAATGGTCATGACACTAGGGAAGCCAGTCGTTCGTGTCTCCCTGTACATGCGGTATCCGGCATCTTGAGCTTCGTGTGCCCGAATGATGGAAAGTAGGTTGTTCTTCTCGAGGAATGCGCATACGGCCGAATAGGAGAAGGAATAAGAGCAACCGCGAACGCTATTGTGAATAAAAAAATCACCTGTCTTTTCTTGGCCGAATTCCTCCAAAGGATCGGCCCAGAGGAGGTCACACATAAGACCGTGGGTTGGGGGTTCGCGGAACCGGTCGATCTACCAACTGTTAGAGGCTATAAAGACCTTCACAACTTATAGCTACATACCGCCATGATATCCTCGAGGGTGTGCAGCTCTGGGCTGAGACCACCGTGGACGCAGAGAAATTGCTTGTTCATGACCGCCGCTAGCGGTAGAGAACAGAAAGATTCCATGCAGGCCTTATATATACGCTCGCTGTACTTGTGCTTGCACTCCAGCTTGAAGGTAAAGTATTCTGTCAAGTGACTACATTCGTGGTTCCCGCGTAGCAGCCAAAACGAATGCGGATACCAGATCTTCAATGCCCAGAGATACAGAACACACTATAGAGGATTGTTAAAACTACCTATATCAGCCAAAACTTATACGTACTTCAATGCTAAAGTAACCTCGATCAACGTAGTCGCCCAAGAATAAGTATCGCGTCTCAGCAGGGTCGCCGCCAACCTCAAATAGCTTCATTAAGTCGTAGTACTGGCCGTGGATATCGCCGCATACTGTTACGGGGGCATCCATCTCCAGAAGATTTGGCTCCGAGCGCAGGATCTCACTACCGGCGTTGATTATCCAAAGCGCCTGGTCTTCAGTGAGCCGGCCCTCCCGATACAGGTGCTGCTTGAGGAACTGGAGGTTCGGCTTTGAGGGGTCTTCGAGGGACCAAAACGATTCATCCGAAGGGGTGGTCAGGGCCGGCGCTTGAACCTCTAGCTTCCACATTCTCATCAATTATTCCATGGCTGTGAAGTTAGAGCGACCGGGTTGTTCGTGGAGTTACCTTTTACCACTCGTTCGAGGGTCGACACTTGTGTGCCATCCTCCATTGTGTGCAATGAGAAATCGATTTCAGGGGTCGGCTTCTGGTCGGCCACTCTACGCACGGGGTTGCAATCCATCTGGAGTGGTTATTGAAAATAAGTTACGAGGGCTCGGAGATCAGAGAAACGAATATTGGAGGGATCATGAGTTGAAAATCCATCGCTGAGCATTTTGCTGTAAGACATTCGTGTTTATTCTCTTTGGCTCTTCTTAACTCTTGGCTAGACCCAGTTCAGTCTGCAGCCTAAATCATCTTTGACTGTCGAATAAGAAAAAAAGGCAATAGCATGAACTAACTATATTAGGCCTGGAGTTACTAAAAATAGAGGTTTAAAAAAGCAATCAAAGACAACAATCAAAGACAACAATCAAAGACAACATGGTGAAATTGATTTCGATCCCCTGGAATTATTTGTTAATTCCGAGGTGCCAGGTCGATCAATGAAGAAAGAGTGCATTCCAACGAGAATAACAAAGATAGCGAAGAAAGAGAAAGAGAGAGCAGGTGGGAGATCTCTGGGGTTTAATAGTAGAGCCTCCCACGTAACATACTCTCTTTCCCGATTAGGACTAGTAGCATTCTGTAGAACAAAGAAACAAAGAAAGCAAACATACATGTGACAAAGCAGGTGACAGGTTATATAACGATCTAGAGAGTAGAAAGTAGATTCTACTAGAGGTTTCCGCCTTAGCAGCGTTTATATCCGTTTATTTGATTAGTTATGAGAGGATCCCACAAAGGATCCCATCTCGGAGATTCCTTTCTCTCTTTTCCTTTCTTCTCTATACTTAGTAGTTAGAATGCACTCTTTTGTTTAAGGACTGGCACGTAGCAATTGATAGATCGTTAGATCAGATTAATAACGAGCTCCTCGGGCTTATAGCCTGTTAAGATCTACGATCTAGTAGGTGAGATCATAAAGGCACAATGTAGTATTATTGTGGACGATGATAGTTGTACTGGATGAAAGATAGGAACTAATCTACTACAAATTTAGGGACAGATCCTATGACCAATAAGAGGTCTCAACAGTGGGATACTCATATTTCCAGCAGACCAAGTGGAATAACAACGAGAATAACGCAAATAATCGATGGAGCTTCCAATCCGGTGTAGCCGAGTTGGTCTCGATATAACAAGACAATGAGAAAAGGGGAGAAATTATCTATAGGGCTAGATTGACAAATCTGGTGTACAGTGACTGTTCAGAATTTCACACGAAGGGCCCAAAATGCTGCCTTCTTTTCTTATATACGCCTGTATAGACAGTGCTGATGAAATTTAGTGTTTGGGGCTTATTTCTCTCTCTCGCTAGTTTCAGTATACACCAAATTAATTCCATTACGTAGATCCTTGTACGATAGAATGTCCTATGATCAGAAGATTTATAGGGCTAAGTGTATGAGATGTTTATAATTGTCACCATATATGGCCATAAGACTTCCGGTCTCCAATCGACGTGAAATTAACAAACTCTTCCTTTCATCCTATAGCTCCTACCTTTTCTAGATTACCACTAAGCCTCTCCATTAGGGTTCTGCCGCCGATTGTAGGACTACCATCCACGCTATATTTCACAACATGCCTATACTCAGCGCTCTCTGCATTCCACCAGAAATGTGGCCACAACATCAACTGAGCTTCTTGGCCATGCACGGATTCTGTGTGGGTGGTCCATATCCTTGGGGGCTTGGAGCTCGGTCCAGATAAGAATTTTTTGGTCGTTGAGGTCGTCCACCGGTAATCTGTCAACCGTAGGATCCGTCATGGCTGATGATTTGAGATCTGGATGTAAAACAGGATGCTGGAGTGGGAAAGAGGGAAAGAGGGGTCCTTATAAAGAAAAGCTCGTCCACAGTGTAAAAGTTTTACACGATAACTCTTCACTTGCTAAGATGTATAGCAAAGCTCATTGGCTTTAGCAATGCTTGTCTTTATGTATCCTTCACCCTTGTCCTGTCTTTCCCAATACAAACTTGAATATCAGTCGGATATAGTTCCCCGGAAGCTATTGTTGAAGAACAATGTGGAATACGAATAAGATCAGAAGAATCGAAGAATATTGACAGCTATCTCAATCATCTATTATAAACATAGTAGTCGAACAAAAAAGACATAAAAGAGACAGATATCGACAATCCCATCACAAACCCAGATAGCGAATCCATGCACCTACCAACAAAACAAAGAGACCCGACAAGTACATGCTGAGTAGCCAAGGGCAGGGGGATAACATATTTTGCAAAGGTGTTATGAGGAAATAACCATAGCCAGTCAGTGGTCCCATTTCCAATCCATATCCACAATGATCAAGTCCTATGCCATAAATACCTCGAGACCCTAGGGGTTGAAACAAAAAACCCCTTGGTGGGCTGCAACAAGGAAGATAGGTTGAGCACGGGCAGAATTAGAATCAAAGCAAAAAGAGGAAAAGAAGCGAAAAGGAGCCTGCCTTTGCCCTGCAGAATGATACATGTTGTACATCGGGGCAATCTTCCCATCAAGCATCCCAACTTTCGATATCTATTGGCAGGGTTGTGCCGGATAGATACAGCGAGGATTGAGAGCATTGAATGGGTGAAACAGTATTAGGCAATATCTTGAGAAGAATAAGAACAGTAAAAAAGAAAGTAACATGAAATACTGTATGGATGCAAACAGGAAGCAAGTATAGAACGATCATAGGGAACGGGGCATATTCATTCGTTGCTTGTTTGAATAACTCATGACCGTTTTGGTTTCTTTTCGTTTCCCCCCCGAAGTCCCCCCTGTTCTCTCTAGTCTGAGGAAGTTCACTTGCTTTTTATGTATCTGCCTTAGGACCAAAGTCCGACGAAAGACCACAAGAATCATAGAAACTCAGGACAAAGATCAAGGGGGCACATGGAATTAAGACCCCGGCACAGTGTGACCAGCAACAACCGTGCGGGTGGAAAAAGAGCCCCGACCGAAGACTCATCTCAAAGTGTAGAGAACTCAAGACAACGTCATGTCAACCGGTAGGGGAAAGAAGCCAATATAGTACTAGTACAAGGGATTCTTGACATCCTGGACTCCGCGTCGGATGACATCCTCGACGCGCCAGCGGGGAGGGGAAACATTGTCCGAGCGCTTGCGATGCCATTCCTTCTCCAGCTCTGGTGGAGGAGCTGGCTGTTCGGCAGCAGGCAGTGCACCACCCGCGATGCCAGTAGAAAATTTCAACTGGAGGACGTTGCCAATCTCATCGCAAGCGGTCAGCACACGGTCAAGATCATCCTTGGTGTGGGCAGCAGAGACACAGAAACGAGCACGGGACGAGACCAGAGGAGTGGCCGGGTAACCGACAACAACGACAGAGATCTTTCGCCGGAGCATCTCGTGCGAGAATGCGGGCATCTTGGCCGGGTTAAAGAGAAGGAGTGGAACGATTGGTGAATCGTCGTGGCCATACACTATAAAGCCAAGACGCTTCAAACCGAGACGAAGGTACCGCGAGTTGAAAGCCAATCGCTGCAATCGCTCCTCGCCCTGGCCGGGAACGAACTCGCCATTGATGATGCGCAGAGCGGAAGAGATCTGGGAAAGCACTGCAGGTGCGGGAGACTCGCCGAAGTAGACACCGGGGTTGGTGGCACGAAGTTGGTCGATCATCACCTTGTCTGCCGCAATGTAGCCACCGTTGGCACCGAATGACTTTGTAAGTGTTCCCATCAGGATATCCACCTCGGAAGTATCGATACTGAAGTAATCACAAACACCACGTCCCTTGGGACCAATGGCTCCAATGGAGTGGGCCTCATCGACGAACAGGTTGAACTTGTACCGGCGCTTCAACTGCACAAGACCAGGAAGGTTGCACATGGAACCTTCCATAGAGTAGAGTCCCTCGACCACAACCAGAATCTTCTTCCAGGGACGGTGAGTGCGGGGTTGTCCCTGAGAGATAGCCTCTCGAAGTCTCAGCTCCAAATCCTTCATGTCATTGTGCTTGAACATAGCAATGGAGGCGCCAGAGAGACGAGCGCCGAAACGGATCGAGGCGTGGTTCAGTTCATCTGAGATCAAAAGACATCCCTTTGATACCAAGGCGGGGAAGACAGTTGCGTTGGTGCCAAAGCCCATGGAGAAAACCATAGACGATTCTTTGCCTACAAACTTGGCAATCAGATCTTCTACTTCGACATGCAGATCCTGCGTGCCGGACTCCGCTCGGGTGCTGGGTGCTGAAATCCCGTACTTCTTGATGCATTCTTCCGCAATATCCGCACAAGGGCCATCCGATTGAGCGAAACCCAGGTAGTTGTACGAGCTCAAATTCAGGGTGTCGGTAGTGGTACCCGTCAGGAAGAAGTGCTGGTTGTGGTCATCCGTGCCGCGATCGATAAGAGTGATTGTGCGGCCGGGAACACCGGTCACGGGGCGCTCGAAGCAGTCGTTGATACGCAATTTCAAACGACGCACATAGAAGTTGTCGAAATCGCTGTTGAGAGCGCCATAGCCATTGCGAGGCTTGAGATGACGGTAGTGTTCCTCGCGGAATCGCTTGCCAAAGAAATCACGGACATGCCCGAAAGCGATTAGGATTAGGTAACTGATATAGGTGGTGAGCAGGTAATAATACGGCGGCTCGTCCATCACCGGCTCTGGGAAAACACCACCGGGGTGTCGACTGGAGTATCGGTGGCTGGGATGACCGATCGGACCAAACTGGGCATGTTGCTTGGCCAGCCGACGAGCCTCCTCAGGGGTCGGAGGCTGGAAGAGTGTTGTTGGCAGCTCGTCCATGTTGTGATTATCCGCGGTGGCTGTAGATAGAGAGATCGTTGGTAGGGACAGTGATGCCAAACTTATCGGCGGAGAAGAATTGCTAGGTTGAGAATGTCCACTCTGTACAGTTTCCGTCTTTGACTTTGGCGAGGCCGAAAATAACTGAGAAAGGCGATTGGACTTGACCGTGGGGGCCTTGGTGGAGATACCGCCCTTTCCCGAAGAAGGTGAAAAGGACGGCGGGTTGGTAGAGGTGTCGTTCGAAGAGTTGCTGCTAAATCGACGAGGCATCGCAGGAGGAAACAGCGTTAAGGTTTCGGCACGGGA